CCTAAAGGTAGTATATGAGTTGGAAGTTTATATTGTTACGTCTCCGTTTGTTAATTAATTTTCCGTAACTTCGTTCCAACGAAATTTTAGCAACACAAGTCCTTACTTAATAAAACTGGTTTATTCTTTCCGAATACAACTTTACGATACACTTATTTTCAACAATCGCGCTAAAACAAACGCTATAACTCTCAGAGAACGTCTCTCGTGCTCTCTGACTGCAGTTCAATTACTCACTGTCTACACACACATTATTGCGTTACGTTGTCACCCTCTTATATATACCAGCCTACCCTATCTAGTAAATACTAGAGCATTCGCCAAGGTACGGGATAGTTCTAGAAACTAGAGGGCGTGAGAATAGTCACGTGATTTCGATGACGCAACAATATGTATATTGGGAATGGTCAGTGATGTAGGTCAATAGTTCTCAACCGTTTTGAATCCACGGAATTCTTCTGGCGTCAAATTTGTGTAACAGAACCCTTTATAGCGTTCATTAGAAAAAACGAAACAACAACAGCAACAAAAAAAAAAAACGTTAGTACAATACTAGCAGCTGTTTGCACCTAGTCTCGATCACTAATTTAAAACAATACAGTGACTTGTTATTGTGTTTTGTCATTATGAAATCCGTTATACTAATAAAGAAATGTGATGTATTTGGACAGCAGTTATGTGGCCTGAATGTATTTATGCATTAGGTTATGCGGAACTCTTACATTCCGCGGAACCCCTGAATGTCTGTCGAGGAACCCCAATTGAGAAACACTGATGTAGGTAACCTATGATTTGGGGATACTGCATATGGATTTTGTCTAGTAAGTGGGAGCTCTGTACCTATCCTTCCACACACAAGACTTGCGAGTCTCTCGTTGCTATGGTTGTTAGGTAACTATTTTTTTTCTATCTATTGAAACTTTGTAATCCCACACCATTCTACCCAATGTTTTCGTAAAAGCAATGGCCTCCATAGTTTTTAATTTGTCTCTGAACTAGTATGAAAGCTATTAAGGCTATTGTAATAGATACCAATATTACACCCAAAACATATTAGCATTTTAATGATACATTATGCTTGCCTTCTTTGTCATATAAACATTTCTTTCTAAGTATGGTGACACAAAAATATTACAGAAATATGGATTTGAGTATAGACTACGTCAAATTTCAGAATACCCACTCTGATTTCACTCAGAGTAAACGGGTACAGTTCACTAAAAAGGAGGGAGGAGATTCAACCAATACTAAGTTGCAGAATAAAAGAAAGTTTATCTTTGTATTTTAACTGAGTTCATCGCAAAGAGAGAGTCAGCACAAAGAGGCAAAACAACAATTGTTATTACAAAACACAGTGACAAACATAATACAAAACAAGTTCACGTGTATACAATGAGTGTAGAACTGACAAAAGAGACAAAGTAGAAAGAAACCTTAATTGGTTCTCTGTCTCATCAGTTCAAGGTGAGCCTCCTATAATCTAAAAAGTAAAGTAAAGTGAAAACGCTTGAAAAATAATCCTTGCTTTAAATGCAAAGATGGCTAAACGAAAACTCTAAAAAAAATGCAAATTTAAAAATCTGTCTGCATCTAAATGAATCTGCTTAGCAAGGGAGAGCCTAGCCTTTAAATGCAAGATACAATGACGCAAACAGAGCCAGATTGCTCACAGCACATACACACATCGCTTACGTGAATCTAGACCACTCTAGGTTAAACATGAAGGGGGGGGGGAAGAAACCCCGGACCATTACACGTTTCATCGACATAAAAGATAGCTGTCTGTTTTGGGACATCATGAATGAAGTCACAACTGTCATTCCTGCAAAAGATCCTGCACCTAGTTAGAGCAAGAAGAAGTTAAGTTATTTACTTGAGCGATTTTTAACATCCAAACTGAACACAAAGAAGGGTATCAACGATATAAAACCGTCCTGTATCCCACTATAATATTACTTTTTAATATAAATTTCAGCTAATGCATAAAATAGGAGAGATTGGAATGTTAGAAATCATTTTTGAAAATATTTTACACTGCGTTGACATTAATCTCTAACTATAATACACATTTTATAATTTCGGCGTTTTTGCCCTTTAAATAATGATAAAATCTTCTTAAAGGCGAAATATGAAATCAGGAAACTTATAATAGAATTGCAGATACATAGATAGCCTTAAATTGTGTATTTTCTTCACACTTAGGGTTTGCATCAACCAGTGAATTTCGTTCTAACGGTTTTTTAACACCTTTTTTTATGGTGACACTCAATTCAAGTTATTGTTATGCTCATGATGTTGACTCTTTCAAGTAAATTAAATGTGCTCATTGACTGGAGATCTGCTATTATGACTGCAATTCATAATAAGAACGACAAGAAACTTGCATCGAATTATAGACAAATTTCTCTCACTTCACAGCTGGTTAAATTATTGGAGAAAGATATTAGAAAAAGGATAATGGACCAACTTAAAAGGTTAAGTATAATTTCAGACTCGCAATATGGTTTTGTACCGGGAAGATAATGTCTTATTAATTTAATTGAGACCTTGGAAAACTGGACATCGTCATACAATGAGAGTACATTACAGTATATTTCTTGACTTTAGCAAAGCATTCGATTCTGTCCCTCATAGAAGATTACTACTTAAGTGGAAAGAATATGGTATTACAGGAAATATCTATAATTGGATTGAAGTATATCTAATTAATAGATTTCAATGTATCAGTCAATGGAGAAACGTTTGGGTGGAAGAAGGTTATTAGTGATGTTCCCCAGGGCTCAGTACTAGGAATGATCTTGTTTGCTATATTCATTAATGATCTACCTACGAATATCAAATCATCATGTAAAATATTTGCTGATGATTCTAAAATATATAATTCAGTAAGAACTAAAGACCAGGTTGAACAATTAAGGGCCGATCTCAAGATATTAACAAATTGGTCAAAGGAGTGGATGTTGGATTTTGATATTGAAAAGTATAAGGTTATGCTTTCGGGAATAAGTAATACCAAGCAAGATTATTTCATTAATGGGGTAAAGCTAAAAATATTCAGGGATATTACATTCTTCAGACTTGAAAGTCCAGTGCCATATTCCAGAAGTTACTAGGAAGGTCAACCAAACTCTTAGAATCATAAGATCTTCCTTTGAGTTTCTGGATGCTGAGACATTTTTGATATTATATTGTTGCATCATCGAGGTCACGTGACTGGTGTGGCGCC